ACTTCGGCAATTCTCATCCCGGCTTCCCTTTTTTTGGTAAGCTACTATTCCTCCTGGTTTTATTTCTTTTCCAAGAAGCTCTGCTTCATTGTTTAATCACCATTGCTGTTTTACCCGTTGTTTCCAAATCATCTTCTTGAATACACACTGTTCACACATCTGTTGATTTCTGCCACTGTTCTTGGCTTGACACACATGTGCAATCTTTTTGTCTTGATTTCCAGATAGCTTCATCACCATTCTTGATTACGAATTACATTCTTGTTTCTGTTTTCTGTGTCTTTTTCCAGATTCTTGCTTTCAATCCTTGCCTTCAAACTCCGAGGTGCCAATCGCCGAGAAAAGCTTTGATCAAACTTTTCGGGAGATCGATGTTGAGCTCGAGGCCGAGAAGGCTGCTGAGAAGTCTTCCCAACTATCTTCAATATCCTGCCATTGATACCGAGTAGTTTTGTTTCCTTCTTTTACTCCTTGTACCTTGTACCTTGTACCTTGTACTTTGTCCTTCTTTGCATGCTTTTAATCCGGCCAACGTGCCATTTTTGTAGTCTGAATAATTTACTTTTCAATATTCAGGCCGAAGTGCCTTATTTCTTCTTTAAATGTATTTCTCTAATTTCTTCTTTGAATGAATGTCTTCTTTTTTCTGCTCTTGTATGATTCTACACTTAGAATAATTTGTATGTCTTCAAAGTACACCTTGACTGTGCAATCTCTTCGGGTAAAATACCTCTGTCACAACTTCTAATCTTGCTTATCTCGGCCTTGTCCTAATTACTTGAAAATATTGTAACAAATATTTTCACAAGTGTTGCTTAGGACTTGTCACTTTCTCAATGTCTTCTATCAAGACTTCAGTTTTCCATATTTCAAGTTTTGACAACCTGGTAGTTTTGGCAAGTACGCAGACATTGCTTTGAGCTTGACTTTAACTTTTAAATTTTTCTCAAAAATTTCAACAAGTGTTTTAACCATCATCCTTTATCATAACCTCGGCTTAACTTCAGCTTGTAAATTTTTCTCAAAATTTCAACAAGTGTTAAGCCATATTCCTTTCGATACGACCTCGGTTTAACTATAACTTGTAAATTCACACAGAATTTCAACAAGTGTTAAATATCACATCGGTTTAACTTCAACTTTTAAATTCACACAGAATTTCAACAAGTGTTATACATCATCTCGATTTCAACTTGTAAGTTCACACAGAATTTCAACAAGTGTTAAATATCATCTCGGTTTAACTTCAACTTGTAAATTCACACAGAATTTCAACAAGTGTTAAATATGATCTCGGTTTAATTTCAACTTGTAAATTCACACAAAATTTCAACAAATGTTAAACATCATCTCGGTTTCAACTTGTAAGTTCACACAGAATTTCAACAAGTGTTAAATATCATCTCAGTTTAACTTCAACTTATAAATTCACACAGAATTTCAACAAGTGTTAAATATCATCTCGGTTTAACTTTAACTTGTAAATTCACACAGAATTTCAACAAGTGTTAAACAATGATTTCGGTTTAACTTCAACTTGTAAATTGCCACAAATTTCAACAAGTGTTAAACAATGATTTCAATTTAACTTCAACTTGTAAATTGTCCACAAATTTCAACAAGTATTAAACAATGATTTCGGTTTAACTTCAACTTGTAAATTGTCCACAAATTTCAATAAGTGTTAAACAATGATTTCAGTTTAACTTCAACTTGTAAATTGTCCACAAATTTCAACAAGTGTTAAACAATAATTTCAGTTTAACTTAACTTGTAAATTGTCCACAAATTTTAACAAGTGTTAAACATATTTTTCTTTCTTCTTCTCTCTACCCCCTGCATGGCTTTCACATGCTCTTTTGTGGACCTTATAAAAGGTCTTCAACCTTGCTAACTGCGGTCTAACCTTGTTAACTGCGGTCTAACCTTGTATGTTTGCTTTTTATCTTCTGGGATCTGAGATCTGCTCACTGAGCTCTTCTCTTCTCGGGCTTAAGTGCCGAGGTCTTGTCTGCTGGAATCTTGGATCTGCTCTCTCAGGTTGAGCTCTTCTCTTCTCGGACCTACTCATCTAGGCCGAGATCATGCCTTCTGGGATCCGGGATCCAAGATCTGGAATCCGAGATCTGCTCACTTAGGCTGAGCTCTTGTCTTCTCGGACCTACTCATCTAGGCCGAGATCATGCCTTCTGGGATCCGGGATCCGGGATCCAAGATCTGGAATTCAGGATCTGCTCACTTAGGTTGAGCTCTTGTCTTCTCGAACCTACTTATTTAGGCCGAGATCTTGTCTTCTGGGATCCGGGATCCAGGATCTGGAATCCAGGATCTGCTCACTTGGGCTGAGCTCTTCTATACTTGAATGTCATCTCCTTGGGAGCGCTCATGCCCCCTGTCTTTGCATCCCTTCTGGAAGGGTCTTCGTTCCTCCGCAGGCATTTATCCTTCCATACTTGGAGGTCATCTTCGTTGTAGTATTCGCTTCGATCTGTTGTCTTTGGTTCGTCACTTTTCTGGCCGGCGTCTTTCACTCCGTGGCTCTGGTCATGAGTTTCTGTGTTGCGGTCGTCCCCTTCAACGTTGAGGTTGATAGGTCTCTCACTCCCAGCAGGAGCGTTGTCTCCAATCTGATCCTTCTGTCCGTCATTGGCCATCTATTCTTCTTTCTTTCATTGGCCATCTATTCTTTTTTCTTTCATTGGCCATCTATTCTTCTTTCTTTCATTAGCCATCTATTCTTCTTTCGTTCCCACAGACGGCGCCAAATTATGTGAGTGATTTTCTGACCACACTGCCCGCTTAGTAACCAGCTGAAGAGCACCGGCAGAATAAATGGCACCTGGCTGACCTGCAACAGAAAGAGAAGATTCTGGCGGTGGTTCATCCACCCGGGGGCACTCCGACGATCAAGTCAATATATCTCTCAAAGATAAATCAAGTGCTAAACTCACAAGCTTGAGTATCAAAAGTATACCTTAGACCCATGGAGATGCCTCTCTTTTATAGCCAACATAAACCTATCCTAGTAGAAGCCTAACTTCTATGGACTCAGGATTACTGTTAATCTTAGACTCCCAGTAAGATTAGAATAAACTCTCTAAGAGTCTTATCTTAATCCAAACTGAAGTCTTCTCCCATTCTAGGACTCTTGTCCCTTATCCGCTTATCTCGGATTCCGACATCGTCGCAGATAACCTCGGCTTAGCCGAGATCATCTCGGCATCATGACCATGACACGTGGCACCTTGGCTGGCATTCCGGTGACACCTCGGTCACGTGTTATCATTCAAAAAAAATGTCCCCACAATAAGCAAGGGACACTACAACATATAAGAGTTTTAGAAATCAAATTTTATGGTCTCTAAAAGTGAGAATTTTGTTGCAAAAGATATTTAGGGACCAATTTCTATCGTTGTGAAAATAGTTGCTAAAAAGTCGTTCCGAAAAGTGAAAAATAAAGCTTTTAGCGACAAAATTTTTAAAATGCCACTAATATATATACTTTTAAGGACAAAATAATTTGGTTTCAAAATAATTTATTTTTTGAGACAAAAAATTTGATCCTATAAAGATAATAATTTATTACTAATGTCTAATTTTCGTTGCTAAGAATATAATAACGACACTTTTCGCAACAAAAAATATTTAATTTCTAAAAAATAATTTTATCCTTAAATTTTGATCTCTAAAATCTTAATTTTTTTGACTTTTCGGAACGACTTTTTAATTTTTTTGACGTGGGATATGCTATGAAGCGTGGCAGAGTTGGTGAAGGGTGGGCTTTATGACTTACTAGAGACTGTAGGAAATGGATGAGGATTTGAAAGATTGTAGGAAGGAGGGGCTAGGGTTGGCAGCGCAGTAAGACGGGTTAAGGGTGGCAGGAGGCATCTACTAGAGGTGGTAGTGGTGGTAGCAATGGGAGGTTATGATTAGCGTGGTATAAGATTACGGTTAGATTTTGAAAGGCCAGAGATGAAAGCAGGATTAATATTTTACACTAAAATAGAATTGTAATAAAAAATCAATAACAAGATGAGAAGAAAAAATAAAACAAAACAAAACAGAAAGGCAAATAGTAGCACCATTGGAAATAACTAAAAAAGCTATATAAGTTAGTTTTTAACTCATTTCGAATCATATCATCCGTCACATTTTTTACATATTTTTTTTAAGAAAAATTAAAAAATCAATTTTTAACCATCTTCTTAAAATAAATTTATATATTGCATGTCTCCTTCCATATTCTTATAAATAATATTCATAAATCATAGTGAATAAATATGGTATAACGGAAAACAAAGATGAAGTTGTCTCAAGTGCTACACATACAAATCCACAACACTTTCCGGCATTTTCAAAGAGAGCCATCGACAACTCCAATATATATATATATATAGAGAGAGAGAGAGAGAGAGAGTAGCTAGTAACAAAACTACCTCTTGACCTTGCCGTCCAAGTCCCCAATTGAATCACAATATCAATATCAATACTGAAATCGATTACAAAATCAAATACAAAATATATATATCTCGTTTGGAAATATATTATTTTAGTAATTTTTTAAATTTTTGACTAAAATACGAGGTAAAAAAAATTAATATATTTGAAAAAACTTTTTGATTTTTTACGAAAAAATGTACAAAAAGTAAAGGAAAAAAAAGAAAGAAAAGAACTTGATTTTTTAATATAAGCAGTTAGCTTTTTGATTTTTTTAGTTACTTTTTGATTTTTAGACTAAAAAATTAAATTACTAAACGAGACCTTAGATTTCTAAAAAATAAACCTTATTAACAAATTTTGTAAAATCTTCTATGTCTAATTTTACAATTAATTTTTATGTTGGTAACAAAATTGATCCCAATTTTCTTCTCAAGTCCACTTCACAACCCTCCAAACCTCTTCAGTTAATTTTACCCGTCCCTTTTTTGTCCACACTCCAACCCCTCTCTCCTCTCCATCTATATGGTTAAACATTCACCTCAAAAAATTCCACTCTCCAAAAACAAACAATCTTTCATTTTAAGTCACCAGAAAAGTTGACCGACAATCAGTGATTGATCGGTGCAATGGCGAGGTATAATCGGACGGGCACAAATAGGAGCCTGGAGAGCCTGCTCGACATGGATAAGTCATCGCAGGTGGCGAAAACCGTGATGAGGCAGACAAACAGGAGGACGATACCGGGACAGGGTCTGGAATTCAACAACCTATCTTACAGTGTGATAAAGAAGCAGAAGAAGGATGGTGTTTGGATCACAAAAGAAGCTTATCTTCTCAATGATATATCTGGGCAGGCCATTAGAGGTGAAATCATGGCCATTTTAGGACCTAGTGGTGCTGGCAAGTCCACTTTTCTTGATGCCTTGGCTGGGAGGATTGCTCAGGGCAGCCTTGAAGGGTCTGTTAGGATTGATGGCAAGCCTGTTAGCCTCTCTCTCTCTCTCTAAATATATATATATATATATATATGTACACACACATGTGCATAACTTAATTTTAAATATTAGACGATACATATCAATTTTTTAACCTCGGGCTATCGATACATCCTGATATATCAGTGGGAATGAAAATCATATTCCTCCTACCACCGATACATCCTAATATATCAGTGGGAATGAAAATCATATTTGCTGATTCATATCAACTCATGACTCCATTTATAGTTGACACTATTAAATGCATATAGATCAATTTGTAATACGCATTGATTCATACCCAATTCACGACACAGTATAATCAGTTCACAATCAATATGGCTGATCTGGCTCACATCACCTGATTCCCGACACTTATTGTTAGATACTCCCGCTATTTAAAACCTTGACACAGACACACAAAATGGAGCAGTGCAAGCACACATACATATATATAAAGGGAGGGTTGTATATAAATGCAGGTCACGACTAGCTACATGAAGATGATTTCATCTTATGTGATGCAAGACGATCAACTCTTCCCCATGTTGACTGTCTTTGAGACCTTCATGTTTGCCGCTGAGGTCCGACTCCCACCTTCCATTTCCAAGCTTGAGAAGAAGAATAGAGTCTTCGAGCTCCTCGACCAACTCGGCTTACAGGTATCCCTCTCTCTGAGTCTCAAACATGCACAATCGTACAAGTTTGATGATATGATTGGCTTTGCAGAGTACAACACACACATATATCGGCGATGAAGGAAGGAGAGGAGTGTCAGGAGGTGAGCGCCGGAGGGTTTCTATAGGGATCGACATAATCCACAAACCGTCCCTCTTGTTTCTCGATGAACCGACCTCTGGTCTCGACTCGACAAGTGCTTACAGTGTGGTGGAAAAAGTGAAGGCTATCGCTCAAAGCGGTAGCATCGTCCTCATGACCATCCACCAACCTTCCTTCCGAATCCAAATGCTCCTCGACCGCATCACCGTCCTTGCAAGGTAGTAATCTGTTCGCTTGTGATTTTTTTTTCTAAGAACACTTAGAATTGTGTGTAAGACGCTGATTTAGCCGTACCTTCGTGCTTGCAGAGGGAGATTGGTATATTTGGGAAACCCAACTGCACTTCCTGGTCATCTCTCTGGATTCGGACGGCCGGTTCCAGATAGTGAGAACAGCCTCGAATATCTCCTTGATGTTATCAAAGAGTACGACGAATCAACAGTGGGGCTTGATCCACTTGTGGTGTACCAGCGCGATGGCATCAAACCCAATCAAGTGGCCAGGACCCCTGTACCGAGAACACCCAAAACCAAAACTCTGAGAACTCCTCGGACTCCTCATGGAAGGACACCTGTATCGAGGCATATGATCAGCCTGCGTAGCAATCAATTCTCCACTGGAAACGCAACGCCTCGATTGGACTCTGGGCAATTTGATTATGATGATGATGACGACGATGATGATTTTGACAACTCCCTAGAACGCAAGAGCGCTCCAACACCTATGCACCCATCAAGCGGTGTCTATAATCCCCGCTTGGCTTCTCATTTCTATAAAGATTTCTCGGTTTGGTTGTACCATGGTGTCACGCGGACTTCTCGTCACCAACCTTCATGGACCCCGGCAAGAACCCCGGGACGCACACCTGGGAAGACACCTGTCTCCGGTGCAAGAAGTCAAGTTTCAAGCCGATATCCAACACCTCAGCAAACACCTATGCCAACCCCTTCTCGGACAAAGACACCGGTAGTCTTCAGCCAAGCATCACCGTCAACGAATCAATATGAGCCTTCTTATGAAGATTTTGACATAGAAGAAGTGCTTGATGTGTCAGATCACGGACCCAAATTCGCAAATCCGTGGCTCCGTGAGGTTGCGGTTCTCTCGTGGAGGAACGCACTTAACGTGGTCCGCACACCAGAATTATTCCTTTCCCGTGAGATTGTTTTGACAGTTATGGCTCTCGTTCTAGCCTCCCTCTTCAAAAAACTACACAATGATGACTTCAAAACCATCAATCGGCTCCTCAACTTCTACATCTTCGCAGTCTGCTTAATCTTCTTTTCATCCAATGACGCTGTCCCTACATTCATCCAAGAACGATTCATCTTCATCCGAGAGACTTCCCACAACGCTTATCGAGCTTCATCATATGTCATTTCCTCCCTCATTGTCTACCTCCCCTTTTTTGCCATTCAAGGTTTCACATTCGCTGCGATCACCCATTTCATACTTCATCTCCGAAGCAGTCTCATTAACTTCTGGCTCATCCTTTATGCCTCACTGATCACTACTAACGCTTACGTGATGCTCGTTAGTGCACTTGTTCCGAGTTACATCACTGGTTACGCAGTCGTGATCGCCACAACAGCTCTTTTCTTCCTCACTTGCGGCTTCTTCTTGAAGGCGTCTCAGATACCCAAGTACTGGGTGTGGCTCCATTACATTTCTGCAATCAAGTACCCATTTGAGGCCATGCTAACAAACGAGTTCAAGGGTAAGCAATGCTATTCTGGCAACGCAGCAGATCTTTCGCCTGGTCCTTTGGGAGCATTGAAGATCAGCAAACTACACAGGGATTCCCTAGAACTGAGTAACTGCACATTGATTGGAGAAGATGTTCTGTACACCATGGACATTACACTGAAGAACATCTGGTACGACATTCTCATATTGTTGGCGTGGGGGGTCCTTTACCGTCTCTTCTTCTATCTGGTTCTCAGATTCTATTCCAAGAATGAGAGAAAATAAATCACTCGTATCTGATTGCAAATGTTGTGTTTTTATTTCATGTGTCTTGTAACTCTAAGACTACATTTGGAAGAATTATCAACGAAGGAAATTCACAAATCAATGTTAGAATGACCATCTATATTTGAACTCTAGTTTCCATATCAAGGAAATAAATGCCAAAAATATATAACCATTCCATCTTTTCTATAATATAATGGGAACAACACACTTGGTGTAGACAAAGTTGGGTCACATTTTAATAAAAAAAAATTTTAAAAAAAAACACTGACCGACTTCTGACGCATTGGTAACTTCCTCCACTCTCACTATGAAACAGGTTTTTTTTTTCTTTTTTTTTGTCTTATCACAATTGCAGGGGATAATAACTCTCTCTCACAAATCTGAAACCAGCAGAGAGAAACTATAGGAGAGAGCAGATGGAGAAGAGATAGCTTTGCAATTTGCACGCACAGTGGATAAGCACAACCGCTAGTATATCCATATATATACACATTAGTTGTTTAATTTTTGATTTTTTTTAAAAATTTTCCAAAATCACTCACTCTCTCTCTCTCTCTCTTACATATCAATCAATCACTTTCTTTTCTCTCCTCTCTTCTTCTCAATCACTTTTTCTCTCACACACATCTACTCAATTACAACAAAATATCAAATCATTTCAAACTCTAAAACTACTTTCAAAACATACAACCAAACAAACCAAAAAAATTTCTAAACTCTCTCCAATTTTTTTTTTTGGAATTCACTCTGTCAAAAAGCAAACCAAACACATCCATTGGAATCTTTGACTTTTTTTTGAAGATCACTCAAAATCAATCTTAATACAACAATGATTCATCTCACTAAAAACATCACCACTAATAGCACTAATGCATTAAAAAAGTTTAAAAAAAAAAAAAAAACAACTCCAAGACCAAAACATCACATCATTAATGGCGGGACCCACTGCCACCTAATTAGTGGGAGCACCAAGCATTTTTCATCTTAATAATGTTTAGAATGATTTTTTAATTTTTTATGAAAAGATGTACAAAAATAGAGAAAAAAATAAAATCTTTAACTTTTTTATATATATTATAGACTTTCTAATTTTTTCAATAACTTTAGTTTTTGATTTTTTTAAAAAAAATTCCAAAATCACTCACTCTCTCTCTCGTACATATCAATCAGTCATTTTCTTTTCTCTCTTCTTTTCTTCTCAATCACTTTTTCTCTCATACACATCTACTCAATTACAATAAAATATCAAATCATTTCAAACTCTAAAACTACTTTCAAAGCATACAACCAAACAAACCAAAAAAATTTCTAAACTCTCTCCAATTTTTTTTTTGGAATTCACTCTGTCAAAAAGCAAACCAAACACATCCATTGGAATCTTTGACTTTTTTTTTGAAGATCACTCAAAATCAATCTTAATAATGTTTAGAATGATTTTTTAATTTTTTATGAAAAGTTGTACAAAAATAAAGAAAAAATAAAATCTTTAACTTTTTTATATATATTATAGACTTTTTAATTTTTTCAATAACTTTTTAATTTTAAAATAAAACAGTCAGTTCCCAAACGAGGCCTAAGTCACTATAAGTACATAAAGGAAAGTTTATCGAACAATCTCTCCATATGTAACGACCACAACACAAAAGGACCAAATTATGACTAAGGGACACATTGGTTGCAACATACAAGTGATCTAGAGTACAGGAACAAACTATATAACAGGTATTAAAAGCCTGGTGACTTAAGTTACAAATCAAGATTAGCTAGCATATTGGGCAATCTTCCTTTCGAGTGAACTTTTGTCGGCTCCAACAACCTTGTCAATCTCCTCCTCGTTTTTTATAAAGAAGAAACTTGGCACGCTGCTTATATTCCAGCGTGCTGCCGCATCCGTTGCCTCATCAATGTCAACTTTCAAGAATACGACTTTTTGGTACTTCCCAGCCAAGGTTGTAAAAAGAGGCGAAATGAAGCGGCAGGGCCCACACCAGGTTGCTGTGAAGTACAGAACTGCCAGGCGGGATGACTTTGAAGCAGCTTTTAACATCTTCTCCAGTTCACCAGCAGAGTGAATGCCAATAACTTGCCCTGTAAATCACCAAAAAAAAGGTTCATCTGTATAACGTATCCTTACAATGCTGTCAGCGATTTCTACATATACTCTGGTTTTCTTTTCAGAAACTTCAATTAGGATTTAACTGCAGCTAAGAATAGATGATAATGTAGGATATTCCAATGTCAAGAACAAGAAATTTGGGCACAAGGTAATGTAAAATAATATTTCAAAATAAAATTATAGCTTTGATAAACAGATGGCCAAACTTTCTTTATGTTGAAGAAAAACAAGTGAGGATCATTGCACGAACAAGTTACATGATAATAAGACCTTCAAACTGATCCACATGGCATAATTCTTTTTTTTTTTTGATATATAACCGCATGGCATAATTCTGAATAACTAGAAAATTACAATAAAAATAGTTAATACTTTTGGCATAGGAGTTGCAGGAAGTTCAGACAGCAACGAAGACTAGAGTTTCGCATTATTGGACAGTAGGGAAAAAAAATTATAAAAATAAGGTAATCAGCCAAGATTATTACAATGTATCTCAAGTTATCTCAATAAACAGTCATGTAAATCTCACCACTAGTGTAACGTTGGAAACAAATAACTTTTTGGGAGGGAAACTAGTAGTATTTAACTCAAATGAACATAATAGCAATTCAATGACTAGTATCGAATTCAAATGAACAAATAAATTATAAGTATTGCATTCCAACTAAAAGCCTAAATAACCAATATTCAAATAGCCCACAAATACTAGGTCTTGTTGCTTCCAAAGAACTTTTAAAGCACCTAATGCGTTAATGTCACTCAATTACTCTACAAGCAATGAGAGCTTCAACAAAAAGGCTACACTACTCTTGCAGCATGAATACATGTACAAATACATAATCAATATTCTAATTATCATATTGGTAGTGAACTAATAATCTAAAACAAATAACTACAAGAAGCACAAATGTGATTGTTTAGATACAGGGCCCTCTCTTGAAAAGAAGATTCTAGTACTTTTCACTGCTATTCCCCAGCATCACATGTTTTCACACAATCACACCAAAGGGAAGAAAACGCAACGTCAATGTCTATACATGCTTAACATAACTGGTTATAGAGAAAGGAAATATTAACAAAAAAGTTCAATGAAGAACAATATCCAAATCTTAGCCGGATGAGTGGACACTAAACGAAAGCATTGATGCACAATATCATCCCAAATATTGATAATAGAGGAAATTTTGGTAAAATTCAACAAAGAGCAAAATGCAAGCATTATTCTGAAATAGAAGGTAATGGATTTAAAAGCACACCATTCTTCATAGCATATGTAATATCTTCCAAAAGTATTAATAATAAGAAAGAAACAGAATTCTAATGAAGGAAATTAATAAAGAGAGAGATGCAAGCATTATCCTGAAATAAATGGTGAATGGAGTCAAAAGCCATACCTTCCTTCAAGGCAGACGCAGCTTCTGGATCCTGCATCAAGTTTGTGTGATTATAATCATTTAAAGAATGATTAACAACCAATAGAAAGGTATGATTGAGAAATAAGAAGGGAAGGCAGAGGATAATCATCCAATTACTTGATGTATCTTATCCCAATCATTTGGATACAGGACCTAAAAAAATAAACTGTGATTAATCACTGGAAGGCTGCAACCCTTCAAGTAGGATCACCACCAGCATAGCTCAGGACAGAGAGGGAGAGAATGAAAGAAGAAATTAGGGTGGGTAACAGGCAGGTCAAGTGAACAAAAGTCAAATTCCAACTCAAGGACACCAAGCTACACACTAAAGGAAGTTGTTTCAGCATTCAAGCCAACTAGATAGTTTGAAGCGAATTGTTCAGCATTCAACCGTATTCTTGGTAAAGTGTATAATGGACAGAGGCTTATTTTGGTATTTATCAGGATAGAGCCCAATCAGGAATGAAAAAGTGGGGCTCCAGTTATAGATAGTATACGCATAATCTAATTTGTACCAAACTGACAAGCCTGTAAATCTACTACAGCCACATTAGACCTTAATGATGGCCATGATGATGTAAATGTATTGCACATGACAAATAATGTACAGAAGTGGCTACTAGCTACTTCTCAGAAAGCATCCTGTAACCAAAGATGGATACATCAGAATAAAGTAAGAAACTCACTGAAGCTTTACTTTCAGAAGGTTGTTCCATCTTCATTTCCCTTTCATATTTCGCCTGCAGCACAAACATTTAGGTATCAAAGTAAGCATTAGGAATTTTACTATGCAAAAAAATTGCATGACATGGATTACAAACTTGTACTTCACCCCGCCGCTGCTTCCTTGCATGCTCAATTTTTCTTTGCTCCCTTTCTTTGTGCAGACGTTCATATTTTCTCCGATGTTCTTCAATTCTGTGTGCATTAGGTTCAACCTGCATATTTCAACATGTAAACAGTTAATAGTATCTATGAAATCTTACCCTTCAGAGATCTAAAAGAGAGGGGGAAAGGGAAGAGAAGAAAAAGCCAAGAACATCAACACAAGTGAAACCCAAAAGGGGGGAAAGGAGAGAATGGAGGGGGGCAAACCTTTTTAAGCACCATTCCAATCTCCTCATCATAATCCAAATTTGACGCTACATGCAAATCCTTTGCTGCTGCTTCCCACTGGCCCAACATGGCCCGTGCCATTCCTCGTATTTTATACCCTTTAGCTGAGTCAGGGTTGATCTGAACGAGATTATGTATTCATTAATTCATGTCAGACAAGATGAAATAAAGTGAGCATCATTAGTGATCATTTTCAAAGTTCAAACTTTTATTTATTCAGTTCTTTAAGGCATGTATAGGAACTCATCTATGAACAAACCTGTAAAGCTGCATCAGCATCACGTATTGCTGCAATTGGCTTGTTCAGTTTAACATACACACTAGCTGAAAGCAAGAATGTCAGTTTTCCAAGGGAAGAACAAATAAGGAAATATGGACAACAAAGTCAAGTGATCTGAAAAAACATAGGCTTTACAAGTATAAGCGTCACCTCTAGTTGCATACAGTATCGAAGAACTTGGATTCAACATGACAGCTTCTGTGAGATGATCTATGGCTTCATGCAGCTTATCTATAAAGAATACACAGCTTGTTGAGACATATACTTCCTGAGAAAACAATAGCCAAGAAGATTTGTTGAAAAATGTTAACCACAAGAAACTACTAATGTACCTTCAGAGATTGAATCCATAGCTTTTGATTTTAATATTTGTGAAGCATCCCGATTTTCTTCAGTAACTTCAATAGAACGATCTCCCATCTACAATGAAACAACAAGGTGAACTTGTTCAATACTGAAGCAGGCACAGCCTTAACCAAAACCAGTTTGGTTTATTCTATTACCCACCTTCTGTGGAGGATCATTATCAGGCTCTACGACATCAATGTTATCCAACTCAACATCAGACTCGACAATGTCCTCATCCAATATATCATCATTTGACAAGTTGGATTTTTTGGCATCAAGATGTACCCCATCATCTTTATCCTGTAGATGAATTCTCCGTAATTAGACAATGCTACAAGATTAAACAAAAAGAAATCTTTAATTTTGAAAATTTATGGCTATGGGTTTTCAATTTAACCCAAACAACTGAGCGTGGATTCTTAAACAATTTCAATTAGGTGAGGTGGCACCAGGAATGACCCATTTATTTTCCAATTGTAAGGTTGATTTCAATCCAAAAGTTGTACAAAGAATTTTTTGTAATTTTTTTTTTTCCCGGCTGCCTTCAATGTAGAAAATCTTGCATGTATAAACTAAAATCTCATTAGGTATTACTGCAGCAAGAGTTTAACATGTTGGAGAGCCTACAGTTTGAAGCTTGAGTAACCAGCTTAGAGTTTGATAGGATATCATCCCCTATTTATATAAATGAAGATTAGGGTTTGTAACAATTACAAGATGAGACAATTACAAGATGAGCCCTGAGGGCATAGAATAATTACAAACCAATAACTCAGATAATAATATAATATGCTAACACTCCCCCTCAAGCTGGTGCGAAGATATTTCTCATGCCCAACTTACCTAACATGTCATGAAATGGTTTATTCCCAACCCCCTTGGTGAGAATGTCAGCAAGTCGTTCACTAGATTGGACAAAAGGAGTACAAATAGTACCACTAGTGAGTTTCTCCTTAATGAAATAGCGATCAATCTCAATATGTTTTGCCCTGTCATGTTGAACTGGATTGTGAGCGATGTTGATGGCGGCCTTATTATCACAGTATAACCGCATGGAGTCCGTCTGATCAATACCTAGATCACTCAACAATAACTTGATCCATAAAAGTTCACACACACCTTGTGCCATAGCTCCAAACTCAACTTCTGCACTTGACCTGGCAACCACATTCTGTTTCTTACTCCTCCAAGTAACTAGGTTGCCTCCAATAAAAGTGCAATACCCTGAAGTCGATTTCCTATCAGTTACTAATCCAGCCCAGTCAGCATCTGTATAGGCTTCCACACGAAGATGATCATACTTTAAAAAATAAAGACCCTTACCAGGAGCAGACTTCAAGTACCTCAAGATTCTCATAACAGCCTCGAAGTGAATCTGATGAGGAGCATGCATAAACTGACTAACCACACTGACAGCAATAGCAATATTAGGACGGGAGTGAGATAGGTAAATGAGCTTACCCACTAATCGCTGATAGCTCCCCCTATTATCAACAGCTTCTCCTCCTTCATCATCCCCCAATTTCTGATTGGGTTCCAGTGGGGTGGCATAGCCAAGCATCCCAGTTTCCTTCAACAGGTTAAGCACATATTTTCTCTGTGAGATAAATATTTCATCCTTAGAGCGAGCAACTTCAATTTCCAGAAAATACTTCAAGCTTTCCAAGTTTTTGATTTCCAAGTTTTTGATTTCAAACTCACTAGCTAAATATTTCTTCAACAAAGGTATTTCCCCACTATCATTGCCCGTAAGAACTATGTCATCTACATAAACAATAAGTGCTGTAGTCTTACCACATGAGGAATGTTTCATAAACAAGGTGTAATCTGCCTGACTCTGTTTGAAGCCATATTTAAACATAGCCTGAGTGAATCTCTCAAACCAAGCCCTTGGAGACTGTTTGAGACCATATAATGACTTCCGAGGCTTGCATACTTCGCCTTCTGTCTGATGATCCTCAAAACCAGAAGGAATGTCCATATATACCTCTTTTTCGATGTCACCATGGAGAAAGGCATTCTTGACATCAAACTGATAAAGCGGCCAATCTAGATTAGCTGTTAGAGAGAGACGTACTCTAACTGAATTCATCTTAGCCACGGGTGCGAAGGTCTCCTGATAATCAATGCCATATGTCTGAGTAAACCCTTTTGCCACAAGTCATGCCTTGTAACGCTCAATAGACCCATCTGCTTTGTGTTTCACAGTATATATCCATTTACATCCCACAGGTCGTTTGCTTGTAGGTAACTCAGTCAATTTCCAAGTGTCATTTTTCCTAAGTGCTTTCATTTCCTCAATCATGGCTAGTTTCCACTCAAAGGTAGCAAGTGCATCCTGAAAATGGTTAGGAATGCTAACAGAGGAAATATTGGACACAAACGCTCTATATGAGGATGACAAATGAGAGTGGGACACAAAATGTGAGATAAGATGTTGAGTACAAGATCTCACACCCTTCCTCTTGGCAATAGGGACATCAAGATCACTGGACTCAAGAGATTCAAAGTTACCTAGACTCTCATCAGAAGTAGGAGATGGCAGTGGAGGAACAGAAGTGGTCTCTTGTATCCAGTTAACTTGTTGTCTGTCTATGTCCCGAACATAAACATGCCCGTACTTATCCTTGGTGACATTGGGTTCTATAGTCCCAGTAGAAGAGGGTGGTGCAAGAATAATTGATTCCACCATAGGAAGCACAGTAGAAGAGGGTGGTGCAAGAACAACTGGGTCCACCATAAGAAGCACAGGACTCACTTCACACCAAGGCTCTCCCGGAAATGAGGACGGTGACACCGGAGAGGACAAGATATAGGACTGGGACTCAAAGAAAGTAACATCCATGGACACAAACCACTTACGAGAAGAAGGGTGGTAACATTTATACCCCTTTTGAGTAGGAGAGTAACCAAGAAAAACAAACTTGAGGGAGCGAAGGTCCAACTTACCACGAGAAGGAGAGTGATTATGAACAAAACAGACACAACCAAATATTTTGAGAAGAATAGAAAACAAGGACTGGGAACCTAGGAGGACGTGAAGAGGAGTTTGTTTTTGCAAGACCTGGGTAGGGAGACGATTAATAAGATGGGCAGCGATGAGAACAACGTCGCCCCAATAGAACCAAGGCACACTCATAGAAAAACACATGCACCAAGCCATGTCAAGAAGATGCCGATTCTTGCGTTCCGCCACCCCATTTTGTTGAGGGGTATTGGTGCAAGAGGTCTGATGGATAATGCCATGAGTAGAAAAATATTGTCCTAACCCAGAATCTATATATTCCCCGCCATTATCAGAACAAAATAGTTTGACAATGGCCCCAAACTGAGTACAAATCATCTTATGAAAATTGTGAAACACAGAGAAAACCCCACTCTTATCTTTCATGAGATACACCCAAGTAGCACGAGAAAAATCATCAATAAACGTAACAAACCATCGATGACCTTTCACAGGCATAACACGAGAGGGACCCCAAACATCAGAATGTACTAATGCAAAAGGAACTAAACTTTTATTCAAACTGGGAGCGAAAGAAGCTCTGTGTTGTTTTTCAAGTTGACAAGACTCACAAAAAAAGTCAGACACATAATGATTTGCGAAATCAGATGGAAATAAATGCTTAAGTAAATAAAAGGAAGGATGCCCAAGACGCCAATGCCACAACCATAAATCAGCGGAGGTAGTAGAAGACGTGGTGGAAGAATAAGCAAGTTTGTCCGATTAATCCAGGAAGTAGAGACCATTTTCTGCACTACCACTGCCAATCGTCCTTCTCGTGACAAGGTCCTGAAAAAGACAATGATCAAGAAAAAACGTCACACTACAATTCAAATTCTAGGTAAGACGACTCAAGGATAACAGATTAACAAAAAAATTGGGAACATGGAGATCAGAAGATAGATGTATGGTAGGAGTGACTTGGACTAAACCTTTTCCAGAAATGGAAGAAACAGTACCATCCACAATCCTAACTTTGTCCTGACCTGAAGAGGACTTATAGGCAGAGAAAAGATCAGAGGAGCCAGACATATAATCTGAGGCAGCAGAATCAATAATCCAAGGCAAAGACTTATGACACAGGAAAACACAAAGAGAAGAGACTAAGTTACCTGAGCGGGCAAAGGACGAGGAAGCTGTATTGAGAGCAGTAGAAGACCGGCAGTCCGACTATTAGCGCAAAGCATCCTCCAACTCAGCATCAGAAGCTTGGCCAACAGAAGCAGAATTAGAATCAACTGTATCAACGGCACTAGACTGATGAGCTCGGGAATAGGAACCACGTCCTCTAGACTGGCCTGACCGACCTCCTCAAGAACCAGACAGATCACCTCGACCCCCGGATGGAGTCCCATGAAGCTTCTAACACGTCTCATGAGTATGCCGTGGCTTCTTGCAATAATCACAGAATACAGACTCCTTAGCAACAAACGGAAGGATGGGAGTCAGGCTGAGGCCATCTCAAGAAGTAGACAGTAATGTTGAGCGGTCAGTAGAGACAGGGGACATCATAGCAGATCGGCGACTCTCCTCATTCTGTACATAGGCATTTAAGTGAAGGAAGAGTGTCCATACCTAGAACTCGACCCCTAACTGGATCATACTCCACATTTAGGCCTGCCAGAAATTTAAAGACCTGTTCCTGTGCGATGAACTTCTTGTACCCGACAGAATCAGCATGGCAAGCAGGCTTATAGTCTTGCAGGTGGTCAAGGCATTTCCAGCCGTTGGTAAGGAAAGTGAAATACTGAAGAACAGTCTGCTCCCCGTGAAGTGAGCTCTCAATAGAGCGGCGCAACTCAAATGCCTGTGAGAAATTCCCTTTGTGGGAATAAGTGGCAGCCACAGCATCCCAAACATCCTGGACAGTCTCCATAGACAAGTAGCCCTCACCAATTTCAAGAACCATCGAATGAATAAACCAACCCATAATCAAAGAGTTGGTAATCTCCCATTGATCATAACCCGAGTCAGTGGTACTAGGTGCCTGTACCCTGCCATCAACATACCCCATCTTCCCTCTGCTCTTCAAAAATATAGTCAAACTTTGAGACCATGCTAGGTAGTTATGACCATTAAATAGAGAAGTGGTGATTTTAAAACTAGGGTTGGGGTTCTCAGTCATGGTAGTAGTATAATGGGACTCTCACTCTTCAGTGTTTGAGAAGTAGGGGACACACTGGTGGAATCTGCCATAGATACTATACTACCGAATCCGCAACAAAACTAGTGGCAATCACAAACCCGGAAGGTGGTGTTGAAAGAACAGGCACAATGACAACTATAAAAGCATAATAAAATTAAGAAACCATTTTTTTTTTTTTTTGTATTTATTTAGTTATTCATTTATATATGTATTGGTACGGTGTTTATACATGACATAGGTATACCAAACAGAGATGAGAGTAAACCAGAGAAGGAGATTGACGAACTGTTGGAGAAGATCGACGAGCTGAGGAGATCGACTGAGGAAGGTCGACGAGCTGAGGAGATCGACTGAGGAAGGCAGCTAAGTGACGAAGGCGACAGAGGAAGACGGCTGAGTGACGATCGACTGAGAGACGGCTGAGTGACGATCGACAAAGGAAGGCGACTGAGTGACGACGGCGACTGAGTGATGAAGACGAAACAGGGATCGACGAGCTGAAGATCGACGCAGCAGATGATCAACCTAGGTAAGTTTCGAACCCTAGAGTGTCGTTGGTGTAGAGGTCGACCAACAAGGGTGAGCCAAAACCCTAGAGGTTCTGCTCTGATACCATGAAGCTTGAGTAACCAGCTTAGGGTTTGATAGGATATCATCCCCTATGTATATAAATGAAGATTAGGGTTTGTAACAATTACAAGATGAGACAATTACAAGATGAGCCCTGAGAGGATAATTTATATGCGAATTGGGCCGAGCTGGGCCTTTATGGGCCTCAGTACGAAAGGCTGAGTAAAGAGGCCATAAAGTTACTCCGGTCTTGAAGAGGCTTAAAGTTAGCCCGATCTCAAGCCCAGAAGGTAGACCGGTCCGAGTTACTCTTGATGTTAGTCCGGTTGAAGGACGCTTTGTAGTTAGACCGGTTTAAGGATGCGTTGAACTTATATCGGTTAAGGCACAGTATGGTTAGTTCGGTCTAAAAGCCTTGCTAGAAGTTAGATCGGTTTAGACTTAACACTGTTGACAATGGAGGAACTGGGGTAAGAACACTAAAGGTAGAACCGAACTAACGATAGTTCGGTCTACTCTGTGGCTCGGCGTGATCATGATTACTTCGGTCATATTGGAGTTCGCAACAAGTAAAAACCATCTCACTTGGTTTAAGCAGTGAGGGGGGGTGTTGAGGGATAAGTATTATCCTTCAGGAGTATGAATCCTAGGAGGACTCTGCATGGAGAAATAAAAGTCCTAATAGGATTGTGCCACGCAAAACCTATAAAAGCTCATCAAAATTTTAGGCTCAAATCTTGTCAATAGGTTGGGATCAGACGAACTCACGACTAGGCTCGCTCACAATCCAATGGGCAGGTACACAAGCTTAGCCCAATAGATTGAGGTTTGGGGATTGTTTGAGAAGTATTAGATTGACATATTTTTTTTTTATTTTTTATGAAAAAAAATATAAAATGTGAATTGGAATTGAAATAATGTGATAAACAGATGATATAACATAAATAAAATGATTTTGATCTAAATAAGATATTATGATAAAATAACATAGGTTATAACATATGTTATCGTACCAAATGCCAAACAAGTCCTTAAAGTCTATTTTTTTAAAATAAAAATTATTTTATTTGACGGTGTCACGAGCTTTAAGGGAAGTCGAGCTAAGCTTCGACTTTAAATCCAAACTCAAGCTCAAATCTCAATTAAGTCCGGATACCTTATCTAAGTTACGGACTTAAGGGGTCGTTTGACATTGGTTAATATAATCAATTTTTTTTAGTCTAAGACTCTTTTAGCCTCGTTTTGTTTTTGTTTTAAGACTTTTTTAACTTTTGTAGGAGAAAAAATATAATGATTATGGATAAAAATTAATATTTTGTCTTATTAATTTATATAACTTATTTTGTCTTTTTGTGTTTTTTTTAAGAAAAATGCTTCGGACCTCCATTGGGGGTCGACCTCCACTGAGGTGGTGCGCCGTGATTGGACAAAAAAAAAACTATTTTATTTATTTATTTTGAGTTTCAGCCAGTGGGGGCTCGCCACCTCACTGGGGGTCTGCAGCAATACTCAATCTCATTATGTATAGTTTTTTAATTTTATTTTATTTAATTCTATGATTAAAGGCTTGGGATATTTATGATGAGGCTTAAGAAACTTGTACATCCTACATGTACCTTTCAAGAGCACTTTTGAGCACTTATAAAACTCAAAAAGACTTTTGTACCAAATTTCCAGCACATTGCCTACGCAATAGTCCACTTTCAAGGTCATATCTCTTAAGAGTATTTTGAACCACACTAAAAATTTTACAGCACCTAGCCTCCTTTGTTATCTTTATTTTGTTATCATCGACATGAACTATGCAAGGGATATTTTTAAAGGACGTCTTAGACCAACGCCTCCTACCTCCGAGGAATCAAATGTTAGAGCAAGTAGTTGGTGCGAAACTAGCATTTGCATGTTTACACACCACTTCACTGTCTCGGCCAACCATGCAACAAGTTGCTATGATACTATCAAAGCAAATTTAAGGCCAATACTGCAAAATCAATTCTACACGATTACATTAGGACAACTCTTTGACATCAACTGCTCGAGCTCTTGAGTATTTATTTTCCCTTTTTCTTGGATTGCATGATGTTCTTACTTTCAATTGTCTTCTACCATTCAATTTCACCCTGTTTCCAGTCTATTTTGCTACTCTTTTCTACTAATTACGATTTTACAAACTTTTATATGCTTAATTTAAAAGTATCAATTCTCTATAATTTCCATCATGGTTAGAAATACAATAATGTGTCTTGAATTCTGCAGTAGCTCACTTGTTGTATTACATATATCTTGGCTCTCGATCAACAAGTAGGCTCTGTGGTCAGCGTAATCCAATCATGAATTATAGGCATGCTCAAGCTCTTGCCATCTTGCATGCTATCAACACATATGGCATTATATAATATCCTGTCTTCTTGATTTTTGTATTCCAGGTAGTTGGTGAACAAGATTTTCCATGGGAACTTGGATCCACTGTTATTGGACATCTATGACCTTAGTCTTGAGTTCCAAAAGCCAAGAAAACCAAGCTTATTGTATGGCTACTTTTTTGGGAAATGCAAGGATTTGACTTAGTCTTCGTTGGCCATCTCAACCAGAGGGCAATCATCTAAGCTTTGGGTGGGTTTGTTTTTAGGTGTTTTGTTTTGATTTTGCTTCTAGCAAGGTAATGGTGTGGTGTGTTGCTTTCACTTTGGTGGATTGGGAGTTTGGTGAACTTAGTTTTTTAGGATTCTCTCCTATACTAGACTTAGGTGGTGTTTTTCTTTTGATCTATCTATTCCTATGGTTCACTTGTAATTGCTTTGTATATGAAATGAAGTTAATGAATCACACTGTATGATATTTAACAAGCATTCAAGCTTGGAACCAATTTGCATAAGATGGATAATTCCTTGATCACTTCATAAACTTTTTCCTCCTTCCACTCATTCTCTCGAATAAACAAAGGAACGCTAAATTTTTGTAAGTTTATGATTTGATCTTTAATTTGCAGCAGTGTAAGCATGGTGCTGGGGATTGAACGTATGCTCTGTTTCCACTGTTTTTGTTTTTGTTTTTCTGGTCTGCTTTTTTGTGTAGCTATATTGGAACCTCTCCATTTCTGGTTTACTGTGAAATTGCTCATGATTGATCATGCATAGGGTGCCAACATTATGATGATCTATGTTTTTGATAATGATCTTCTGTTTTTTTTTTTTTTTAATCTGTTGTCGGGGATTTTTAGGGGACGGGGGCAAGGGCGGGAAATTTTGAACCTCTGGGGATCGATCCCCATCCCCTCCCCAGCTCGTTGCCATTCCTAGTAATATTTGCTAATAGTTGAGGAAGTCTTAGTGTAAATAATCCAAACTGTAATGCACGAAACACAATAATAATGCTATACTTACCATCTTTTTATAATATATTTTATTTATCACATCAATGTAGCATGTCACAAAACAATAGCTCCCACATATGTCTCGTATTAATATCCAAAAATTGTGTAGATGTATCATGTAACAAAATCTAGTATAAGAACATGGTAAACATAGTATTATTGAAGAAAGATTAAGATGAAACAAATAAAATAATATGTTTTTGATAAATGAAGGATGCTATTTATACAGTAAGCTCCACAAGTTTGACATAATTACACTAAACTCTCTTACAATGTGTTTTATTGGGGGATTTGAGAAAGGATTTGAAAATGAAAACGGAAAGGGGAAGGGGAAGGGGAAGGGAAAAGGGAAGGGAAAAGGTAAGTGAAATGTGAACAGGACAGAACCAAGAGAATATAGGGGCATGGCCCCCTATTGTGAAAAATACGATTTGTCATGGCATTTTAAAAATATGTATCTCATTTTATACATAAAATGGCCCGGTATAAAAAATACATATCTCATTCTTATCTCATCTTGCATTCTCTTTTTATTTTGCACCAAAAAAACTTTTTTATCCTATAATAAATTGCTTCTATAGTATTTTAATTTTTTTTTTATGTGTATAGATATAGTTTATATATCATATTTGTACATATATGTGATCTTATGTATATGGTGAAAATTTTTATTTGTCTTTTGGCCCCTCCGATAATGAAATCTTAGTTTCGTCTCTGAATGTGAATAAAATATACTTACATTTCATATTATTGCACACACCTTTTTCTTTTCCTTTTTAAAATCCCCAACCAAATGCAGCGTTAAGGTTTTAATTCAAATAACACTTGGTTCCTTTTTTTATTCCCTCCAGTGCGTGATCAGATTAGAGAGTACTGGCCCATGGGGGTCCATTAATCTGACAATGTGTAGAACTCGTCGAGTACTATATGCCTGTAAAAAATCATATTGATCGGATATCGATTGCTATCTCACTAGATCAAATTTCTGTCAACCGTTTACTTTTTCACCGCCCATTTTTTTTTTAATACAAATCTGATTTGATCACGTAACTATTGATATCCGATCAACGTGATTTTTATAGGCATATATATATATATATAACGGTCCAGATTATTAAAACGAGATCCATGGTAACCCCCGGGCCCAACATTACCCTCCAGGGAAGCCAGCACCAGGGGGGGGTTGAAATAATCATGAAGGCAAGCTATGTAGATCACGACAATCGTGTGTTTTCTCTAGCACCGTATCTATGTGGGGTTGGTCAAACTTTAAGGAATTGCGATGGTTAAGGGTAGTGTGCCTTAACCCATCTCCGAGAATTTATCAATACATTGCACAAACTTGAGTCTAACCACAAGCGCTTGTCTTGTTTCATCATCTTTGGGGGCACAAAAAGATGATACATTCATTTTCAAAATTAGAGATGCATCCAATGCGGATGGAAAACACAAATGGAAATATTTGACTTTAATGGAACAAAGAACGTATGTGCTTCTCAAAAACAAATTATGAATTGTCGAGTTCAATATTGATGGTTATTACCAAAGTTATCATTAAAACAGTAAGAATATGATTAAATCTAGAGAAAGAAATGGGACTCCGTTTAGAAGAGAACAAAATGCACTGATGAGTTCAACATTTTTTGGAACACGAAATTCACACTAAAAAATACTAAGATACTGTCTTAAACAGTCAACAGATACCCAGATTTGGGAGAAAATAACAGGGAAGAAGGTAAAAGATAAAAGGGGGGGAACAAACAAAAAACTAGAGAGCTGCAAAGTAGCAGTCATATGATCCATCTACAAGAATCCAATTGTTGAGCAGCCTTCGCAAAAAATATGGCAATCACTTCCATGGTTGTGTCTCTCCAGAGTGCAAGTACAAACATTATTACTGGATGATGGTAGACACTATGATTTTGTTTAGTTATGTTTTTATTTCATGCTACTCTGTCCACTTGTAGAGGACTCGTCACAAATGCAATGCAAAAATCACGCTAAATTGAAATTCTAAACATAAATCATTGTTTTGATTTAATCAGAGGTTCAAACATGCCCCAATACTATAGCATGAACTCAACTATCATGCAGGTTTAAAAGAGAATACAGATCACAGTTGGGCACCACTGGGAAATAATCTTTTAATATATCAATATAAATACTTGCGAATTAAAATCAACTGTATTACTGTTAATTACCTCTCCTTGCGTTTCTCCAAAAATCGAGCTAAAGATGCTTTACGAGCCTGAGGCACAGCTATAAGAAATGAAAATTGTGAACTTCAGTATGGTAATATTTATAAGTAACACTATGAACATATTTCTCACCAGATTTTAGTGGTACGAAAATCAAGTAAGAAATCCGTTTTATGTATAGTACTTTTCAATATTTATAGGACAATGAGAAAACACATGGCTTAATAACTATAGAAGAAAAGAAGCTGATCTGAAAAAAACAAAGAAAACCTGATGGAACCAGGGCAGCAGAAACAGGTGCTCTTGAACTGACGCCTTTAGAAGGCTCTGATTTGTTAGAAGTAGATGCAAGGGTTCCTATTGCTCGCACTGCTGTTATAGCAGTGCTGCTACTGGATCCTCCAGAAATAGGGCTCGGAAGACCTAAACAAGGGGACGTGGTACGGGACTGGTTCCCAATGAAATTGTCAACACCAGAAGGCCTTGGTACCGGTACTTCCACTTGAGTTGTAGCTACTGCCTTATTTGGAGTTGAAGAATGCCCATTTCCAGCCAACAACATGATAGCTTGAGCCTGAATTAAAACCAAAAAAAAATAAAAAAATTACCCAACACAACAGAAGAAAGAAATGGGGAGAAAAAATAAATCTAAGGTGTGGTTTGATAACGCTGTTTTTTTTTTAATTTTTTTTTATACCAAAAATAAAAAAACTTGTTTGGTGTACACAATTTTTTAAAACAAAAATGAAGAAACATGTTTAATGAGTTGCTAGCGTTGGTGGCTACTGATGGCCGGTGGTGGAGGTGGACGGAAGTAGCTATCGGAGTTGGTGGCCAGAGGTCATGTGTGGTGACCATCCCATGCCGGAGCTTGTTGGGGGGTCCCCAATAGCCAACGGTTGGTTGTAGCCGGTAGCGGTGGTGGGTGGGGGCCGAAGGTGATGGGGGAGGGAGGAGAGAGTGAAAACTTGTTTTGAAAACTAAGTGAAAACACCATTTTTTTTTTCATTTCCAAAAATATTGACAATTTTGGAGTCAATTTTATTTTTTTTGAAAACAAAAATAGCATACCAAACAAGTTTTCGCTTCTGGTTTAAAAAAAGAAAACATGAAAACAGAAAATGAAAACATTACCAAACAAAAAGATGAAAACTAAAACAAATTACAGAAAATGGAAACATTAGAAAGCAAAAAAAAAAAACAGATCGGAAAAATGAAAACAAAAACAAAAACGTTACCAAACACAACCTAAGGAGCTTATATAATAGAAAAAGAGAAAGAAATGCAAGTACCTTCTCAGGAGATACATTATCATAAACACATACAGAACCAGCATAAAAGATGGTCAACTGAGCAGGACCCCCGGAGGGCTTAGAACTGTTCCTGAAGACAGATCCAATTCAATTTAAAGTTTCCAGCTATATTTATGGTAGAACATTCAACATTTCGATTAAAAATTTCAATAACAGTAATAGTACCCAAAGAAACTGTAATATGAGATACCTTAAGTCAGTGGTACCGACAACTGAAGTGCTCGTGGGAACGACTGAAACAGAGGATATTACAGGAACTGCTCGAAGAGGTTGTGGGTTTATAGCAGAACTGATAATGGAAATCTTTTGGTTTGTTTGGTTGGCCATTGGCAGCATCCTGGCTTCATGGGGACGAGAATGTGCATCAAATTGCTTTGGAGGATAGCTGGTCACTGTATAATGGGTTCCCGCTTGCTTATCCAGATTCAAGTTTTTCTATAAATTGAAGAAAAGAAAAAAGGGGGCAAAAGGAACACATCCAAAAATCACACAGAATCATTCAACAAGGCTCAAAACTTTTGTAATTTCCATGAAAATAACAACAATACATTGTGATTTGAGATATAAACTTCATGCGGACTAATTTAGAAGAAAACTATCTTAAAGTGATGATTCCAAACACTTCACAAGAACAAACCTGCACGATGCTAGAGTACAGTTTGTGATTGGATTCAAAAGCTTCTGCACTGGATATAGTCATAAATCTGGTTGAGGAGAGGGAATCAAAACCGGTTTTTCTAGGTCCACCATCATCTTGATTAGCCTTAAACGAAAGGTACTGAGGTGCAGAAACCTTGTTTGAAAATGACCACTGCATGCCTGAAGCTCCAGATGCTGCTGAAAATTAGAACCCAAGAGAAAATACTACCAACTGTTTCTTCCACAATAGAGAACTCTCTGTTCAGAGCTACCTAATTTTAACGTAATATCATATAGACAGTGAATCACTTCTCGAAGCTACGATCTACGGAGTAATTATATATAGTGTAGGTTAAGAAACAAAAAATAAATAAATAAATAAATAAATTAGACTACCCTCCTAACCATATATCAATAACATATCCCCATATTCTTCATAGGGTGATTATACAAATCAAGAGTTCAATTTAACATTGAAAATGCTCCATCAGTGTAGCTGTCAAAAGGGGATGAACATATTGATCAACTTTAAAAAATTAATCACTGCGCATCTCATGAACATTATTATAATTGTTTTGTTTACATCTATTAATTGAAGAAATAATTTTATAAACATTAGAATATTTAGAACTACGTGGTCAAAGCCAATATAATATTACATCTAACACATTTTGGGGTTTTCAATTGTTTTTTATATTACATTATGCATCATTTAAAAAAAATTATTAGAAATGTATGTGACATCTGGCAAACCCAAAGAACCTATAAAAATTCTTTACCTAAGCCCGGTAGAGAGGATGAAGGCATGACAAAAAACAAGCTGCATGTTTCAAAAACCAACCCTCCAGCCAAAAGAGAACAATTAGATATCTTATATCGTAGGTTAAATTACAACAATTTGCAGCTTTAAAGAATTATTCAATTCTCATTTTGGTCATTAAGTTTTATATTTTTTCCAATTTAGTCTTTAAATTATTGAATTCTTGTCAATGTGGTCCAGATGGTACCGTCAAATTCTTTCACCAAAGTAGAAAAAGTTCAAGCATCGTGTGGCATTTTTCATCAGTAAGTAACTGAACTGGACTACATTGACAAAAATCCAATAGTTGAAAAATCAAAATGAAGGCCGAATTGAGAATTGAGAATTGAGTAATACATAAAAAGGTGCAAAGTGTTATTCATTCTATAATGTATTGTCTATTAGACTAGCACTCAGTAATCGTGCGCATCCAAGGTGCACATTAGCACTCTAAGAGAAAAAATAACAAAATAATGAGTTATCTTGAAAACTTTAATGATAAAACACATTAGCCACTTGTTTGGCAGACGGAAAAAAGACAAGAAAAGAAAAGAAAAGTAAACTTCATTGTTCACGTTTTAATTTGTTTTATTCATGCCCCCAAGTACTGCAAAACCTATAAGCGCATCTCTAGCAAAAACTACAAAAGTCTAAGATAAAAAGTACGCTATGCCAACTTACAAAGCAAATTGAGGAATAATTTGTGTGTGCACTCCAACAGATTCTTCAAACTTTATATATTATTTTAATCATTTTTTTTTTGTCTTATTATACTTTTGCTAAAAACTATAAAGATTAATTACACTAAGACCCCTCAACTATTAATAAATATCACTTTATCCCCTCATCTATAAACCCATACCTATTGACCCCTCAACTAAAAAAATCATACAAATACACTCCTTTTGGACCTTTGGGGGGTGGTTTGGAGGGGCTTTGCAGCTGGTGAAAATAATACAAGTTTATAATTAAGGAGGTCAAAATATACTGGTTCATATATGAGGGGTAAAGTAATATTTAGGGATGGCAATTTGAACCTGGCCCGACGGGAACCCGCTCCCCCGTCCACAATAAAAGCGGTTTTTCCTCGAAAAATATCACCAACGGGCAGGGGACAGGGATAGCTTTCACAGCCCCGTCCCCGGCCCCGTTTTTCCCCAAAATAAAATTACTTTTGTACCCCTCTGTATATATATGTGTGTTTGTGTGTCTCTCAATTTGTTGGCCTCATTTTAGGGTTATAGACACACACAAAACACATCAGTCCCTCACAGAGACAATGCTCTTCACAGCGCCAATCTCCATTGTTTCTCCGTGCTCTTCACAGTCCCCGTTTCTCCGCCGCCGTCACTCTTCCCTTTACCCTCTCTCACTGTATCTCTAATATCTCACCGATTTCAGTCCAAATCGTGCTCTGATAGCCATTTTTCGCGACGAGAGAGAGCTTTGCGTCGTGAGAAAAATAGGGAGAAGGGAGAGAAGGAGGGAGGGAGAAGAGAGCCGCCATGGAGTGCTCTAATCGCCATTTCAGTCCCTCACAGTGCTCTTCACAGCGCTGATCTCCTCTGCCGTCCTTATCTGCTTCTCTACCGACGCCTTCCATCTCTCTCCATTCCTCTCTCTTTCTTTGTGTTATATACATATATATATATAGAGATTTTAGCTCAGATCTGTGTGAGATCTTTGATGATCTGTTGCTATTTTTTTTTTAATCTGTTGTTTGATGATGATCTATGTTGTTGATAATGATCTTCTGTTGTTTTTTTTTTTAATCTGTTGTCGGGGATTTTTAGGGGACGGGGTCGAGGGCGGGAAATTTTGAACCTCTGGGGATCGGTCCCCATCCCCTCCCCAGCTCGTTGCCATTCCTAGTAATATTTGCTAATAGTTGAGGAAGTCTTAGTGTAAATAATCCAAACTGTAATGCACGAAACACAATAATAATGCTATACTTACCATCTTTTTATAATATATTTTATTTATCACATCAATGTAGCATGTCACAAAACAATAGCTCCCACATATGTCTCGTATTAATATCCAAAAATTGTGTAGATGTATCATGTAACAAAATCTAGTATAAGAACATGGTAAACATAGTATTATTGAAGAAAGATTAAGATGAAACAAATAAAATAATATGTTTTTGATAAATGAAGGATGCTATTTATACAGTAAGCTCCACAAGTTTGACATAATTACACTAAACTCTCTTACAATGTGTTTTATTGGGGGATTTGAGAAAGGATTTGAAAATGAAAACGGAAAGGGGAAGGGGAAGGGGAAGGGAAAAGGGAAGGGAAAAGGTAAGTGAAATGTGAACAGGACGGAACCAAGAGAATATAGGGGCATGGCCCCCTATTGTGAAAAATACAATTTGTCATGGCATTTTAAAAATATATATCTCATTTTATACATAAAATGGCCCGGTATAAAAAATACATATCTCATTCTTATCTCATCTTGCATTCTCTTTTTATTTTGCACCAAAAAAACTTTTTTATCCTATAATAAATTGCTTCTATAGTATTTTAATTTTTTTTTTATGTGTATAGATATAGTTTATATATCATATTTGTACATATATGTGATCTTATGTATATGGTGAAAATTTTTATTTGTCTTTTGGCCCCTCCGATAATGAAATCTTAGTTTCGTCTCTGAATGTGAATAAAATATACTTACATTTCATATTATTGCACACACCTTTTTCTTTTCCTTTTTAAAATCCCCAACCAAATGCAGCGTTAAGGTTTTAATTCAAATAACACTTGGTTCCTTTTTTTATTCCCTCCAGTGCGTGATCAGATTAGAGAGTACTGGCCCATGGGGGTCCATTAATCTGACAATGTGTAGAACTCGTCGAGTACTATATGCCTGTAAAAAATCATATTGATCGGATATCGATTGCTATCTCACTAGATCAAATTTCTGTCAACCGTTTACTTTTTCACCGCCCATTTTTTTTTTAATACAAATCTGATTTGATCACGTAACTATTGATATCCGATCAACGTGATTTTTATAGGCATATATATATATATATAACGGTCCAGATTATTAAAACGAGATCCATGGTAACCCCCGGGCCCAACATTACCCTCCAGGGAAGCCAGCACCAAAAAGGATATTAGTTTCGGTGTCTTTATTCTTACTGAAAACGAAAAAGTAGTGTTGTCATTATATCAAATATATGAGGCTAGTTGTAATTTCGACGTTTTATTTTAATTTTTTGTTTCAACATATCCCAATTTTCAAGAAGAGGGAAAAACAAAGCAAAAAAAAATCTACAATATATGAAAGTTTTGTTCTACTTGTGAACAAATGTTAGAATAAATTCCATCTTTAAGAAATCAAAAATAATAATAATAATTAATCGGTACCCAACATTTTCATTTGCAAATTTTAGTCTAAGATTAAAAACATTATAGAAAATCCCAACTTTACATATTTCCTCAGCAACCAAACAGAACAAGTATAAATGAAACAAAAACAGAAATGAAAGAAAAAGAACAAAGAACAAGGCGAGTGCATTTACCTGAATCTTTTCTTGCAGCAGTAATACCTTCTTTGACAGCCACCGACTTGTTCTTGGAACCCAAACCCAGAAAACATCTCTCCATCGATACGTGTGGGTAAGTAATTATGAAAACAAAAGGTGTATCATATGCCCTATTTATGCCATTCTCGTTTCTTATTTTTTATTACGGTAATGGTACATCCACTAAAAGTGGACCACTAATGAATTAACAATAACTTTAAATAAAAATTAAAAATAAAAACAAGATACAAGTAGTGGGTTTTGTTTATTGTCACATCATTAGTGGTACTTTTAGAGCATTACTTTTAGTGGTATCAAGCATTATTATTTTTATTATGATGTTATTTTAATCATAATTTATAAATTTTTTAATTATGTCTTATATTATATTTAATTATAATAATTTTTTAAAATTATGACCTAAAAAATTAAAATTATGTTAATTTTTTTAATTATAAATAGGGGTGAGCATGGTTCGGATTTGAGTAAAACCAGGACCAATCCGTTATCTACGGATCCTGAAAAATTAGAACCAATCCAATTCGTTTAAATCGTAGAACCAATCCGAAGCAATTCATTTAAACACGGATTGGATCGATTTAAGACCATGGATTTACATAATTAAATAACAAAAAATATATATATAACACTTAATTTCATAAAAATATAAATATAGTATCATATTAGTTTCATAATAGCAACATGTCTTTTCGTAATAGCGCCAAATTGTTCTAAAATTTAAACAATCATAAAAAAACTAGTTCCACTGTAAGTATTTAGACCATTACAAATTAACACTAAAAACTAGCAAACAAAAGTAATAAAAAAAGATATTATGCAAGTTTAGGTTTGGATTTAAGTTTTATATGAAATAAGAGAAGATACTATGCAGGAGGATGTATAATAAAAATATAAACTATTTGTATACGGTCCGGATCGGTTCCAATCCGGAACCGTGGAGTTCAGTCCGAAATCAATCCGTGAACTACGAATTTTTAATTTTTCAATCCGAAACCGAACCACGGATTCAAAAAACTAATCCAAACCTACTAGATTGGACTGGACTGGATCGAATTACGAATTTTACGGATTCCTTGCTCAGTCTAATTATAAAGGGTATACGGTGCATACTGTTTCTCACATAACAGAATTCAAGACTGCCTTAAAATATGGGATGTGTTTAATAACTTGATTTAAAACTTAAAATTAAATATATTAAGTAATAATTAATTAAGCCTGTTTTATAATCACAATTAAGATCATTTAAAAATTTAAATGTATTTTAAAATGTAGGTTAAAACTTTTAAAATAAATTAAGTTATATGAAACTTATTTAGCTTCGTTTGGGGATTAAATATTTTAGTCAAAAATTCAAAAAGTAGTTATAAGTTATCATATCAATCTCTATTTTTCTGCATATCTCTTTATAAAAGTCAAAAAATTACTAAAATAGCATATTACCAAACAACATCATAATTTAATTTATAAATATTAAATATAAATATCGATATACATTATTATAAATTCACCACTATTATCATGCCACCACTATCATCACTACCATCATGCCATCACCACTACCATCACAATCATGTTGTCACCACCACCACCGTTACTATCATCACATTCATCACTATTATTATTGTTGCTATAAGTACTGCTAACATTTTATTGTCAATATCATGGCCACCACCATCAATGCTATCATGCCACTGCCGCCGCCATTACCGCCACTACTATTATCACCTTTATTACTATTGTCATTATTATTATAAGCACCATCATCAGTGTACTATCACATTACCATCGCTACTGCTACCGCTATCACTGCCACTACCATCAACACTACCACTACTGCTATTACCACTACCACCATCACAAAATAAAAATTAAAATATATAATTTGAAAATAACAAATTTCAAATTTGATATTATATGTATCAAATAACTTGTTTTTAATTCAACACTTAAATTTTTATCAAACAACTTTTCAGATTAAAATTATTAATTTTTAATTTTTAACTTTATCAAATACCACCATAGTTCAATTCTGATGCTCAAAAGAGAATATTGATATATAAAAAAAGTGTATAATAATTTTATGGTTCGTAGGGAGAGGAAATATTGATATATAAAAAAAGTGTATAATAATTTTATGGTTCGTAGGGAGAGGAAGACAGAGGTGATTTCACGAAAATTTGTATTTTAATTGATTTTTTGATATTTTTATAAAATGATGTCTAAAAATATAAAAATAGTGATATCACGAGTTATACTTGCTAACTTTATTTTCTAACTAAATAGGATAATAAGTCTAACAACTCAGAGTCGTTGAATTTATCCAGAATGTTGATAAGTGGTTAGCATAGAATTTGTGTGGTGTGTAGTTTGTGTAATATAAATTTGAATTATTAGAAGATAATTTTTGATAATTTTTGAATAATTAAGTTTAGATTTATAATATTACTAGCCTAAATATAAGCAGTGTTGTGGATTCCTTGCGATTTCCCACACTCATATTTTTCACCTGCTATTCCCAATCGAGTAATACTATGGATCCATAAATTTTATCCAGACTCATCAATTTATTGCTCAGATTCATTTACCTATGAACCCCACACTTATATCAATCAATTCAATTTTCACCGCATACATACTACTTAGAAAAATTTGAATAATTTAGGTCTGGTTTGGCATGTGTAAAAAAGACAAAAAATTATTTAAAAAGTTAAAAAGTTATCATTATTCATCAAAAAAAAATATTTAAAAATTAATTTTACACACAAAATTACAAGTCAATCTGTTCAGATCTGTGACTGTGTTTTTTAAGAAAAATTACACAGTTGGAGTGCAATTTTAACACACTGCTCTATTCGGCTCATGGGAGTCCATCACAGGTCCCGTTTTGATAATATGAACCGTTCAATGTGTAAAATTCGTCGAGTACTATATATTTGTAAAAAATTACATTGATCGAATATCGTTAACTACATGATCAAATCAATTTTGTATAAAAAAAGAATGGTGTTATAGTTAACGGTTGAAAAAAAACTAATCTGATCAGATAGCTATTGATATCCGATCAACGTGATTTTTTACAGGCATATAGTTCTCAACGAGTTCTACACATTGACCGGTTCAGATTATCAAAATGGTTCAGCACTTATTTAGAACACCCCGAACAACCCTTTAATTTGGGACCATAAAGTTTCTCCTCTGGTCACCCCTACACATGTATTGTGCATCCAAAAATATGTTTTTTAGTTTTTTTTTAAAAATTAATTCAATGAAAAATAAAAAAATCCTAATTTTTATATGATTATTTATTTTTTTGGACTAAAAATAATTTGTTTAATTCAATAATATTTTTTGGTGTTTAACTTTGTCAAATTTATTTATATCTTATTAAAAAAATCATAAAACAATTTATAAAACTGCTTGATTGATTTTTCTCTGTGGTGAAAATAATCTTATTTTTTGTTAAACTAGTTTTAAATTTTCTTTTTAAATCAATAAATAAATTTTAAAAATTCAACCAAGCAGAATCATTTGTTGTTAGATTTTTCTATCATACAATAAACTTGTTTTTTGTATTTAAAATAATTAGATGTGTTCAAGATAAAATTTTAGTTATAATTGGAAATGAGTAAAATTATGTCAAAAAAAGTTAGATTTTTTTTTTTAAGACAAAAGTAGTTTTTGTTGTCTTTCTCACAAAATTTTTCAAGGTTCCACATGATTAATTTTTCATATACTTACATATAATCTCTTCATTCTACACATATCAAATAATTATTGGGTCAAAACTTTAGGAAGGTAGTAGGAATAAAATGTTTAACCATTCGTCCATTGTACTTACAACTACATAATGTGACCCTAGGCTACAAATCAACAGAGTCGAGCTGGGCATTAAGGTGTTTGGGCTCAACTTACTAAAAATTAGTCAAACTTAATAAAAATTGAGCTCAAGCTTTTCTCATCAAGCATTTGAGAAACTTTAGCAACTTCCATTACATAAAGGAGTCAAATTTAAATTTTAAAAAAAAAAATCAAATTAAAATGACCTAATTACATTGATCTCTAGTTTTTAAAATTACACTATCCTCTCTTATCAAAGTTAGCCAATGAAATATCAAGTATATTCCTCATATTGATTTTAAAATATCTAAACTTATACAAATACCAAACACAAATGAAGAATGCTGCCATGGAGCGTCCTTTTTTTATTTTAAAAAAATGTGGAAATAAAAAAAATAATTAATATACTTGATATATGTCAAAAATAAATATTAATTTATATAGTTTTTATTTACAAGCCTTTTTGAGCCGAACTTATATTTACTTGAACTCAACTCAACTCAATTACTGAACAACCCTAAAAATTAAGCTAGATATCATTCATTTAAACAAATGAACCAGACTCAAACGAAATTTAAATGAGTCAAACTTGAATTGTTCACCAATAGTTCGATACATTTATAATCCTACTTATCATCAGATTTGATATTTACTTACCATTGTAACTAATCCTATTTACCATTGAAACTTGCTCTATTTAATACAAATTTTGTTATTATATTCAATTTTTAAGTATGATAGATAAAATCACAAATTTTATATCTCAGTTGAACCTTCATTGTTTTGTGCTCTTTCAATTCCTAACAATTCCTAATAACCAACGAGATTAGATCGATTAGCCAGAACTTCTGCATCTCATTAGGAGGTTAGTAATTTGAATCTCTTCATCTGCATGTAAGTCTTATTCCCCATATATTAATTGGGACTTTCTCTCTCATTTTTTGGAGTTTCTTTGTAAAAGTTTATATTATATTTGATCTTCATTACTATGACTATAATTTGTTAGGTTTCATTATAATATCGCATATGAATCAAATTTATAAAATAAAATAAAAAAATTCGTAATAAATTTTTACACTATGTAAGTTAAATAAATCAATTTTTATTGTTGTATATATAGTAAAACTCATTAAATCAATACTACCTCATGAGATGATAAATAGTTATCAAAGCATTATTGTAAATTATTTACTTATTGAATGGGCAATAATTTATGTGATTTTTTTAAACAAGAACCATAATCACC